CGTCACGTCAGCGAGCATTTAAAGCTTCAAGTTACCTTCCATACAGCTATACGCATGTATACACGCATGCGCACCTTTGCTATTGTTTCTGAGTTAACAAAATACGCGGAAAAACAGACAATCGTCAGCGAACGAAGCTTGAATACTTACACGAAAAAGTGATCCCAGGCGTCTTCTTGATGCGATTTGTACAGCCATAAGTGACGCACAAAGTCACCATGGCCTTGTAAAATCTTAAACTGCTTTACAAAAGCATGTTACAGTCTCCAAAGGCGACTGCGAGGGCGGAGCTACGAACCACACTTTGTCGTCTGCTTCCGAGTCTTTCCTTTTCCAAAACGGCAGCGACTGGCATCACTTATCGCGGGCAGACCTCCGCTCCAGAAGGCATAGTATACAACCTCCTTGATCGCTACGAGATGCGGGACTAATGTGCCAGCGTTTCGCATGCGCTCGTGTCTCCGCGGTCAGCGCATTGAGCAGACCAGCGCCGTGGAACGCTCCTACGCATTCACGCACTCATTGTACTCAACTATTTTACCGCGTCTAAGCCAGCGTGTCCAAAGCATCCCGCAGACATAGAGTTTCCTAAAATTAACTAAAGGGGACTCCGGCGCTGCGTCGTTCAGCGACCACGGGAATGATGGGTAGTACACACATTTGCCTTGTCTTCGTACTTGCGGGTGGCGAACCGTACTTGCGGCTTCCTGTATTGCTGGTTGCGGTTTTGTTTTGAAAGAAAGAACAAACCCTTTTGAACATTGTGACTCAATTTAAAATGATAAGCCTAAAGGAATAAGGTTGTGAAGCGCAAACGTTGAACATCCGCTAATATATTTTTTGTGAAAAAACGGCTCAAAACCACATGAACACACACGGAGACAGAAGCAAGGCAGAAGTACGAAAATTAGACACATGTGTGTACTACCCACCATTCCCATTCTCGCTGAAGCGCCGTGCGTTGCAGCTCCCATAGACAATAGCGCCAGAGTTCCCTCTAGTGTATATTAGGAAACTCTACGCCCGCCGAAACAGGCAGAAGACCACAAATTAACCCTGGTCAACAAAGCAATGCCGCTCACGTGCTCGGGGACTGGACTTGTTTGGGCACGTCATGCGCACGTCACCTCATGGTTGGATGCCGGAGAGGTGGGGGAAGAGATTTGGCTTGCGAAGGCTACGCGGAGGAGCGGCAAGGGTTTCGAGCTTGCCTCCTTTCATCCTCGTTTCACGCCACTTCAAAAGACCTGTTTTTTCCGCTCGTGATGAACGGATTAAAAAATTTTTGTGGCAAAATGTTCCTCATCGGACACGCAACAACTTACACTGTCTAACTAAAATTTGGTATGGGGCCTAGTGAGTGTCCCCTTAAGGTAAAATGGAATATTGTAACCGAGAATCGTGAAACATTTATTGTGGACACCCAGCTAATTTCAAAGGCATGTGTCGTTCGCGACTAGATGACGTGCGATCAAAGCGCACGCGCGTCGTCGGCTAGGTCGATACCAGATAGTTCATGACAATAATCCACGGAATATCGTTTCGTCCCCGTCACGTTAGCTTGACCGAGAGATGCTTTTTTGATTCGCTGAGAGTCCATTTCTGAGCGAAGCCTTTGCCAGCAGCTAATAGTAAAATCCCGGGGGCCTAATTTTTCCTGATGAGCCCCACCGCTGTGGTGTAGTGGCTAAGGTACCCGGCTGCTGGCCCGCAGGTCATGGGCTCGAATCCCGGCTGCGGCGGCTGCAATTCCAATGGAGGCCGAAATGTTGTAGGCCCGTGTGCTCAGATTTGGGTGCACTTTAAATAACCCCAGGTGGCCGAAATTTTCGGAGCCCTGCATTACGGCATCTCTCATGATCATGTGGTGGTTTTGGGACGTTAAACCCCACATATCAATCATCAATCAATGTTCCCTGGTAATCCCTACTGTCTAGTGGCGTGGCACAGTATACGCAAGCCTAGAGTTTATCCGCTGTATAGCACCAAATTCCATTAGACTGTTTCCGGAGATATCGGTCACCGCGCACTGCTAGGAGTGCGTGAGCTACTTAGCACCACTATAGAACACCTGCGGTGAGGGGAGCTGTGCGGACGGAGGGACAGCGTTACACAGGCTGATGAGAGAGCTGCTTTGCATCTAACAACTGACAAAACGTAGTCACAGGCAAAGATATGAGTGCGAACTAACAAGTTTCCCAGTTGTTACTTTGCTGTGTGTGGTAAGCGTACTTTTTTTGCAAAAGGGGTCTGTCCAGCGAGTGAAGTGTTTTTTGAGCGCCCGACAACTAAACGCAATCATTCTGATCAAAGCCGAAGGCGCGCGATTCCCCCCCCCCCCCACCACAGGATCAGTGCGCCGATAAGGCCCCTTTCCTTCGCGGAGCCCACAGAAAATGTACAAATGTTTTATACACAAGCATATGTCAATCAGTCGTATATCCTTAATATCATCAGTTCTTCACATTTGCTTAACGACGCCAATAGCAACAAGGGTATTACCGACTCCGAAGTGGTAAGCTGATATATGTACCGCTTGTGGTTGCAAGCATGACCTCCTTTGGTAGGCATATTTATCTATAAATTTGAGTGGATAGTGATGAGGTATACAACTGGTGTTCACTAGACGTGATGCCTGTATCAGGAGCACATATGTGATGTTCATAAAATATGAAGGCCAGCTTTGCAACCACAATTGACGTTTAACCAAGATTACGCTTGCATAGGCTTTTTTTTTTTCAAAGTAACTTCAAGACCTGGCGTGGCTCCAGGGTCGAATACTTGGTTGTCATGCTGACTTATCGGGTTCGATTCCTGCTAGGACTCTAATGTTTATTCTTTGCATTTTATTCCTTTCATTCGTTGAGTCAACACTACCGATGTCACTTTTGCTTCAAGCTCTCGCGTGCAACTTACCAATGCCTGTCCTTGCTGTTTCACCGTGTACATAATAACTGTCAGTCACCTGTGGCGCATACCCTAATACCGCCGCCCGTGGTAGACGGGTACGTGCCACAAGTGCCTGGAAAGCAGGATTTCACTACGTATACAGTAGGATTTTTAAGTTTTTCATGTCATGACCAGTCCAACTATTTTACGCTCCCGTACTCATTTTGGTCTACTCCATTTTAGGGAGGTGATCACGAGAGCACCCAGAACTACTCGACTAGATAGATAGAGAAACACGTAGATAGAGGTCCTCAAAGAGCCTGAAGTTTGCTTAACAATGCTTCGCATTCAATCCGTCAAAGAGGCCGAATAAGTCTAAGCAGTTGATAATCAGGTAATACGTCTATGCAGTTGATCTGTAACGCGTGGTGTTAAGGATGCTTTTCACACACTGGAACGACGACAACAACAAATAAAAAGCGCAACTTTCCCTTTAAGCTTCTTGGTTTGTTCGAATAGATGTGCTAATAAACCTTTAGACGCTTATCTAATCATTGGACGCATATGGTTCAAGCTATATTAACATCATACAGCGCGAAATTCTTATACTTTTTATAATTTGACCAACGCCTTTTATACTTTGGACAACGCGATTATTCTTTAAGCAATGCCTTTTTAATAGACATACGTAATTCCTGCACGTTCCAAGGCTGTTGCGCTAGTATCATGTATGTCTCATGCTATAGGACAGAAGAGTCTTAAACACATGACATGCGGCCCGTACACGACTGCATTTGTCATAATTTTCAAAATTTTTTTATAAGTACTTGCTCAAGGTGTGTAGGCATGACAGGCCTAAAACGATTTTTGAAAGGCACCCCATCCGTCCCAAAAGTCGACTTTAAAATTGGCGTGCGGAGTTCATCCATGTTGGAGATAGGTAGATGTATATTTTGTTGATATATCACCACCACGTACTCTTCACAAATGTCTGATATATGAGGTAGGGGAAGTGTTTGAAATGACGAAATCAGGGGACATTAGGGAAAAACTTATTCTCCACCGACTACTACCTTCTTTCGAGGCCCTCGTGAGAATAAATTTGTGTGAATGCAGACCGTTAGCCCATGCAAGTGAGAGAACCCTGCAATATCGAAACATGACAATGGCTCAGGCGCCAACATTGCGGTCGCGTAAAGCAGGGTGTGCATGTCTATTTCGCGTGACCTGTCCACTGGGAGCGCGGTTAAAAGCCAAGGAAAGCAAACATCTCCATAGGGGTGTTATGCAGTACATTTCGCAGTATTGCAATACATTTACACTACATTTTGCATCGTCACAGCTTTTGCAATGACAAGTTATAAATATGTTGTGGTCGTTTAACTACTGTGATCAGTGCATAACGCGTTAGAAATAAAATAATGAAAAATGTGAACGAAGCATCGAATAGCGAGATGCTATCTATTTAGGCGTCCGGTCTTTGTACTTTTATGTAACTTGTTTCATATAAATCAAGTAACCCGATATGCATGTAATAAGTAAATTGAGTTCACTACTGGTCAATCATAAAACAATAAGTAGATCGCGTTAGATAAATCGAGCGTTCTTCGAGATAAAATGTGAGACACACAGGCATGTGCAAAGTCATCAGAAAATAACTAAAGGTATTCTAAACATAATTAAAGCTTTTCTAACAGCAGTAAATTACTCTTACTATTCCGTAATATAACCACACTCGTTGTGACAACTGTCTAGGAAAGAACGAAAATTCGCAAAAAGAAAATGGGGGTGCTGACGCCTTCTTGAAATTCGCACCGCAGATGTCGTCCGGTCAGAGACTCTGACGGCATCTACTGAAACCTCGTAGGTGACAACTGATAAATATGATGGTAATTAACGTTTCACTGGCCCGTGGACTTGACGTACGAAGTTTCAGAAATTATTAAAGAGTAGGTGCTTCCAAATTACGACGAATACAGTTTGAAATCCTTTACGCCATGCGCGGGAATTTCAGCGCTAACTTATGAGACGGAACTTTGGACTTTGATTTTCTCTTCTATCAATAAGCTTATGAAGGTAAGACGAATGGCACTTGAGTTCTCAGACAACACTTTGTCAGTCTATAAACCAATTCAGTGTTTCACTTTATTGTCCCCGTTCCTTTAAACCAAGAAAAAATGTACCATTTTTCACAAAATGATCAAAATTACTTGTTTCCCTATTTCGCAGGTGCAACAATAACCCAGCGTACCATTAACCTTGGCTCATGCACAAAGCCTCAAATCGTATGTCGCTCCAAAGGTCCATAACGCTTGAACCCATCGTCTTTTCTCTAATGACGGCTTCCATACGCTGGAGTTGTTCAGGAGAGAAGAACTGCTTCCACTCTCCCACCTTACCATTTCTGACAAAGTTGTGGCTTTTGGTTTCTCCTGCGCGATCCGCCTTTGAAGTAACGTCTATGTTTCTGAAGTGCTTGTCCACCTCTGGCTCAGAGTGCCCGCTAAAGTTAAAGACCAGTATTTTTCTCATGCTCTCCACGCTGCTGTGATTGATGATAACGTCCAACAGCTTTTGCCCTTCCGCTCCGTCTTCCTCTAGAGCTTTCAAGTAATGCTCCCCCATGAAGCCGGCGAGGCGGCGCACCACTTCCGGTGTGTCTCTCTGCAGCTCTTCATACGTGACAAACAGAACATTGGGCTCGTCCTTGAGTGCATAACCGGCCACCAGGTGTTCGAAGTAACAGCCGTAAGGAAGACACCCCGTCAAGAAAGCCTCCAGGAGATCGTCGAATGTGCCGTCTCGAAAGCGGTAAACGCTAAGAGAGGTAACCTGCAATTAGTAAGAATTCAAAGAAAAACGAGCTTTCGAGCATTTTTGTGTTTGTTACTTTGTTGTACGGCACTTATATGATTATGTGTGATGGTTAAAGGAGATGCGTCATGTTTGATCCAATGCTCAAGGCCATCTCAAACTGTGATGACGCGGACGTTTCGTAGCTCTAGATATGGGCAAAGTGGAAAATTATCTCAAAGGAATTAACTTCGACTATTGCTACAAAATGCCCCCCCCCCTCCCGAGCCTCTGATAGCCAAGGTAAATGACAAGGTAGTAATCATTGAGGCGAAAACCTTAGGTGTCATCACAAACAGGAAATTTGGCCGTCGGTGACCACCATCCTGTAGCATCGGGGACGAGTGATACAACAAATGATCATCACATGAGGACTTTGCAATATGGCATCCTCATGATGTCCCTCATCAGAAAAACTTGTGAAGTAATCTTTAAGTCAATAATGTTGTCATGACGTCATGTGACCATTGTAGCGCCCACTATTGGGCGCGAACGAAACCGGAGCATGGGCGACCTCCAAAGAAGATAATGATGGCAGCGCTTAGCAGTGGCATGTTAAGCCATGGTACGTGTTCTTATACATCGACTGATGTATGTAAATAATGAGCATAGCTTTCACAACATATCTGGCGAGACTAACAAGTTTATTTCATCCACCTTGCCGCACGCTATGAAATATTTCCATTGTAATCAGGCAATAATAATTTAAAATTTGAGGACCCTTAAACGTCGCCTTTCAGAGTTGAATGCGACAGCGATATCTTGTCCTTAGTGCGGGCTTCAGCCACTTAGTATATATACTTTTTATTTTATGGCGTAACTCGAGTAGTTTATATTGTGCATTTGTCATCATCAACAGACTGATTACGCCTAGTGCAGGGCAAATGCTTCTCCCGTCATCCGTTAATCAACCCGGTCTTGTGCTTTCTGTTGACACGTTATAGCTGTTTAATCTCATAGGCCCATTTAACTTTCTGGGTCCCATTCGTGCGTCTGCTTTCTTAGGAAATCCAGCCAATTACCCTTAATGGCCAGCGGTTATACGGCCTACGTGCTACATGCCCGACCCATGTTCATTTCTTCTTTTTGATTTCATCTATGACATCCTCAACCCCGGTTTGTTCCCCGACCAACTCTGGTTTATTATTTTCTACAACTATAATGTTACTTTTGACCACTCGCTGCGTCGTCCTCAATTTAAGCTGGACCCGCTTTGTAAGCCTTCAGGTTTTCGCTCCGTAGGTAAGTACCGGCAAGATTCACATGTTATATACTTTCCACTTTAGGGTTAGTGGCAGACTACCACTCATGATTTGAATATGAATGTAAACATTCGACAGAAGTCTGTCTAGTTGGGTATGGAAACTGGGAGATGATTTCAACTCCAACCAAAAGTTTTTTGAAGAAACCCGACGTTTCGGAACCGACATGGTCCCTTCCTCAGGGGAGACTGCAGAACTACGTAGCAGCGGCGTCTTCAAAGCACTCGCGGGGCGGATAATGACAGAATGGGGGGGGGTCGAAATGACGTACACGCTTGTTATGCATATATTTGTGTTCACTTCTAAATAAATTTTTCAGTTACTAGTAAGCGCTCGCCTGTGTCCTATCCGAGTGTGTGTATTTTTTAGCACTTGTTTCATGATGATCTCTAAAGTATTACATTCGGCGAACTCTAACTGATAACTGCCCTCTGCCATTTCTAGAGCCGATGCCATATTCACCGATTGCATTGTCTCTGGCATGTTCCTTGGCTACTTTGGCATTAAAGTCGCCCATGACTATAGTATATTAGACCTTTAATAATGGCTGAATCTACGACTTTATAGAAGCGTTAACCAAATGGCCATCGTGGTTCGATGTAGGCGCGTAGGCCTGTACCACCTTCATCTTGTACTTTTTGTTAAACTTAATCCGTCGTACACTTTTTGTTAAACTTTCCGTCGTACACTAATCCATCGTACACTTTTTGTTAAAGTTTGCATCGTCCACTATTTGATATTCTTGTGTACAGAAACCCCACGCCAAGTTCTTTGAAAGAGCGTCTGAACTACTAGAATAGTCACACCATACACACGCTGTATCCTCATATCTGTACATCCCGCTTCGTTACACAGGCTGCGTATCGTCTAGACACATGGACACGCCTCTCTCCGTGGCAATGGACGCGCTAATGCGGTAGCTCGAGAGCTTACGAACCGGGTGCCATCGGAAGAGCTGTCCAACCTTAGGGATGCACTCAATGAAGCATTAAACTACTCAGACACGCCGCAGTATTACCGAAAAAGTCGCATGTTCTTCCCGCAACTCAATCGATAGCACGCGGTTGCACGAGCAGCTTCGGACTACCTCATTACCCTGCCTGTACATCCTTCATTTCTTCCAGCTCATACAATGTCCCTCATATTGCCCCTATTGAGGAGCAAAGCCCATATTGTATCAAGGCATGTGGGAATGCCCACTACCACCGTGCTACCGTTCTATTTCTCCACCCTTACACTCGTTCTTGGAGACTGAACTAACCAGCTCAGCGCCGCAAGCAGCATCGGCCCATCCAGTGGTAACGTGGTGTTGCGTGGGCCAATGGCGCCCTGAACTAAGGGCTCTTCCCAAGAAGGAGTATCTTTTCGGTCTGCATGTGTAAAAGTGCTTTGTCTCTCGCTCTCTAATTTGATGAAAAGCGTCCGATGTATTTATATCGCCGTCACCCAACTTTCCTGCTTTCTTAAATTAAAAAAAAATCAGTTATGAACGGTGCCACATGTTGTTCTTCTTCAAAGATCAAGGCATAAGTAGCTTTGTGACATACTTACATAAAGTAGGAGTGAAAAAAATGATGGTTTATAAACAGGATGAAAAATCGGCCATAAAAAACCACCTGCGCTTGATATTTTTGAATGCGAAGCTTGTATAACTCGCATATTTTGGGGGCGTCACCCACGAGAAAGCCGTCCCTCGACGACACTACTGGCACATGCGTAGCGGAATAGCGCATTTTAGCAATAGCGCATACCCTCTCGATGATGGCAATAAAGTTAGTTCAATCTACCGCTATAAAGTTATTTAAATCAATCAACCTCGATAGTGGGTTTCAGCTGTTGTGGGACTACAATATTTAATCTCAATATTTTGATAATTTTGATTTACGGAGAAAAAAGGAAAGAAAAATTGAGAAAGACAAAGAAGGGAATAAAAAAAGAAGAAAGGAGTACTTTAGCACGCGCGCTTTTCAAGGCTTGCTTCCACTGTCCCCCTTTTCAGCTGGGACAGCGGTTCCTAAAATTTTTCCACAGCTTTAGCGCCTATTGATAAATGAGCAGCCAATTAGAATCGTGCATTAGATTCATAAAAAATCAATAGCAGCAAATTTAAAGTGCTTTTTCTTCCACTTGGATTGCGCGTAGAGAGGGTAACACTTCGCATTTGCTGTGCACAGTATAAAGTACGTTGCTTTTGCTTACAAAGTGGTAGATCGACACGCAGACATCCCAAGGTTTGCGAGCCACGTAGACGTACTTCGCTTCCGGGTTCAGTTTTTCCGAGACCAGTGGAAGGTGTGTGCAAAGAGTTCGCAGTGGTGCGCTGGTCTTTAGTTCCGCGATACGCGGGTAATATTCTACGATGTGGGCACATTGTAGGAACTCATCGTAGTTGTTTAGCGGCTCGCCTCCACGGAGAATCAGCTGAACAATGTACTGGACCCAGTTAGCTCCACTTCTCAGATACGACGCTTGCAATAGGTCCCCTTTCTGTGCTATGAACTTTAGGCCATTTCTCATGCACTCCGGGGGTGCAATAGGGCACCTTTTTTCACCATCGATGACTTGGGCGTAGGGCTGGAGCCGCCTCGTGGCCATCTTTACTGCAGCTTGAACTTCAAGAACAACTTTTATTGCTCCTGCGAAACAAACGCAAATGAGGATGAAGCAACATTGGCTTTACAGAAATGACGTTATTTACAACGTAAAAAGAGTTGGTAACTGATAAAGGAGCCATTTACCAGAAAATTGACAAAAGCTTTGGTTTAACGAGCATGAAGTTGGAAGGAGGTTGAAAAGCATTAGGATGCCTACAGAATGGGGCGATTTTGGCCAGAAAATAATAAAAAGTATTTTGTATTTGACGTGGCAGAAACCAACACTGGTCTATGGTGTGAAGGCTACGACTGCGATCATGAATATGCTACAGGTTATGAATGTAGTGTAGCTCAGGGTGACTCAGTCGTTTCGAGTTCCATCTTGAAGTGACCGAAACAAACAGCGGGCTACTAAGTGTGGCCCGTGGTTGCAGCGAGAATCAGCTATTGGTGACGAATATTGAGGAACGAATTACGACTAACTCGTAGGCTTTGTTTTTCAAAAACTTGGCATATCCCAATATTCACAACTAATCGATTAGCGAAGGTCCTTATAAAATGAGACGCAAGCGACAATGCGCCGAATCAGACTATTGGATTTTATGAAGGTGTTATACAGGGTGGTGAGCGGATGCGGTGAGCGCTTGCTGCGCTCGGTGGAGGGAACAACTGAGCAAGAGAGTGTGTGGTGCGCGCAGCGCAGGCAGAGGAATACAGGTGGTAGAAAGATTAAAACGGTGTAGGGGCGAAGAGTATGGCGTCAACAGAACGTTGCGAAGGGCATACTTGCGCCAGCGCCAGGTGGGCAGGTACTCTCTGTGATCTTCGAGAAAGCGGGCGTGAAGCTTGTCATTTCACCATCCATAATGAAGGTGGTGACGATGAGCACAACCAATATAAGCAATGCGCAAATAGCTTATTTTTTTAACTTCGGCTATTGGGTGTGCTAGAGCAAAACAGCTGAAGGCCTAACATTTTCTGGTAAATCAGCGACTGCTGTAACCTGAAGCGATGCGTAAGAGAAACAGGGATGAACGTTGACAGTGAAGTGTGGGCCTCAGGAGTTTCGTTCGTAATAAATACAGTAACAACGTGCACGTCTATGCGCATGGCAAAGGTTTGGGGAGCTATTCTCGCTGTGTCCAATCCGTGGACATTCGTGGACATGGGGTGCTGTTCTCGCTGTGTCCAATTCGTGGACGAGCAGTGCACCTGGTTATGGTCTTTTTTTCCGCAACGCCATTTTGACGCCACGAACCTTTCGCAACTCGCGATCCATATGGGAAACATGGAATGCGCCTCGCCGCAATGAATGCTGCCCCCAGAGATCCGCTTTTGGAGGCACATCTATTAAGTAGGCCGTGAAGGAACTCTCAGAAGGGTAGCACTTGACTTAGGTGTGCACTGACGCCCGCCCGCCGCCCCTAAAATGTCGGTACGCACTCCTTGCGTCGTTCTTCAAATATCTCAACAGGTTTATACACACACTTTCAGGCTTGTCGAGTTTCTCTAACGATCCTGTTGCTGTACATGTAGTCCACCTATTTCGCTTTACGCTGAGAATGCGCTGGCGGGTTGGGTTCGTCGACGTGGTCAAGAGCGTCTTGTCGTCACGACTAGCTGTATTATTGCGTAACTGAACGCACTCCGGCGAAGTGGACATGCCAACGAATCGGACACCGCATGAAAAGCTCGCTCGTTCGTGTGGCGGTTACGCCATCACAAGGGCTAACACTGTGGCTCAAGTCATGACATGTGACGACGCCTATGGCGGCATATTCTACCCAGCTTCACGTAGTGCACCATAACAGATTTATTTTCACACTCCAAGTAAATGGGCTCTGTTTTATTATTCAAACCCAGCGTTGCGAAGTCTGCGCTCACTTTCCCGACGTAGTTATTACGAGCTGTTGACATATGGGTCCGGCAAGCTTCTCTAATATGACCTCTGTTTCGCACTTTCGCGAAGAGTATGCGACAGTCACGTGAATGCCGGTTTCAATATTTTCTTCATCGTGCTCAGGCCGCCAGGACTGGTCAGGAGAATGGAAATGCGCCGCTCAAGCACCTCGTTTCACGAAGTAGTGAACGGAAGTTTTTCAAGCTCTCTACGCTGCAAAGACGAATCAAACAGGCCGCTAGGACCATAGAGTTTCCTAAAACTAAGTAGAGGGGACTCTGGCGCTACGATCGTTCAGCGACCATTGGGAATTATGGGTAGTAGACACATTTGCCTAGTCTTCGTACTTGCGGGCGGCCAATCGTACTTGCGGCTTTGTTTATTGCTGGTTACGGTTTCGTTTTAAACAAAAGAACAAACCCTTTTGAACTTCTTGATTTGGTTTGAAACGGCAACTTAAAAAAAATAAGGCGGTGAAGCACAACCGCTGAACATTTCCTGACTTTTTGTTTTGTGAGAAAACAGCTTCAAGCCACACGAACACACACAGAGCCAGAAGCAGGCCAGAAGTACGAAGATTAGACAAATGTGTATACTACCCATCATTCCCACGCTCGCTGAAGCGCCATGCGTTGCAGCTCCCTTAGACACTAGCACCTGAGTTGCCTCAAGCGTATATTAGAAAACTCTCTGGATAAGACCAAGGGCGAGCGAGTGACTGTAGGTGTTTGAAAAGCAATTTTAAGGGTGAGGTCAGGATTTTTGGTCTGATTCATTGGCTAATTCAGAGCACTACTGCTAGCGCTATATCTGCACTATGCGGAACGAGTCTGTACTAATGAAACAATTAGAATGCTCCCTGTATGTTTTATTGGCAGAACTGGAGCAGCTCCATCGAAATATCCACTCCACGGAGCAACTTTTTCTACTCCCTGAAAAGTGACCAATTGTACCAGAAGCGCCCCGCAAGTGCTGGTGGACGCGCTGTTTGCGACGTCCCCCGTGATTAACCGGGATGTACCACGTGACCAACCAACGTGCTCTCCAAGCGCACCCAGTCACTTCGTGCGCCTCTTCAAGGCACGTACCGGAAGAAAAATGACGGGTTCATCGCAGCATAAATTAGCGCTTTTACCAGAAGCCGACGTGCTCTAGCACCCCTTGCCATTTGCTCCAGTGGGAGCGCGTAGGTTTTTTTGGTAGTTTTCCTTTAGTTGCCCTCCACTTAAGTGGAGTGCTCCGGCGCAGAGTTTGTCGGCAAGTTCGAAACTGCCAATTGAATAAAACCGTGAGCTAAGTGTAGAGACATTCAATGAAACTTCGAATTTCATCATCGACTGATAGCGTTCCCATGCGTCACTTAGCAACGCGTTCGAGGAAGAAAATAAGGAGAAGAAAAGAAGCAAAGGACGAGAAAGAAAGCATATCTTAATAAGGTTGTAATTTGGGCCTTTTGGTTTGCCATGTGAAGACACAAGAATGCGCGACTGGGACGCGTCTAGAACAGAGGCACATAGTGAATTAGGCGCACGAAGGTTCATGTGTCCCATTGTGTCTCTCTTCTGTCCACGTCTCACTCACGGAAAGTTGTGCAGATAGACAACTTATCTTAGCCAGAGTGCATTCGCACCAGTGTGCCCAGTGTCAAAGTTCCCTGAGAGAGAGTGTCAGAACCCCTCGACTTTCTAGGCACACTACCAGATATTCATGGAAACCATATGATTGAATTAATATGGCTTAAGAGCGAAAATGAAAGAGAAACGAAAAAACAAATTAATTAATCACACCGAGAAAAAAGGAAGAAGTTGAGATCAATAAAGATTGAGAAATTAACAAAAGCAGGGCGAGAGAATGCCTAGCATGGCCTTATATCTCATAATAAAACAAATAGGTAGGAAAGGAGACTATGGGTTTGGAAATAAGGACAAGGTAAAGCATAGCTTAACCTTGTGTACTAGAGCATAGCAGGAGAAAAGTTGGAGAGAGAATTTTGGGTGAGGATGGGGAAATGAGGGCGTGAATGACCAACGCTTGAGGTGTTTCTGTGGTCTTCGCACTATAGTCATGCGTACTTGCACCTCTTTATTTTTATTTCATCGTTTTCTTGTATATACGACAGCTTTTGCCACGCCCCCTTTGACATGAGACTTTCGGTGGTATAAAATACCCTCACCTCACCATTATTACCGTGTATCATTCCCAACATCAGACATCTACATATGAGATCATTGCTACCTACATATGAGATCATTGTTTATGCAAACTGATGATGGGCCGACTTCTGAACATTATACACACCGTGGTGTTCCTCAAGGTGGTGTATTGAGCCCCACACTGTTCAACCTGGTTCTGATCGGTCTCGTTGAACGCATACCAGATTCCGTGCAGATATCTCTCTATGCAGATGATATTTGTGCCTGGACATCAGGTGTAACACGTCCTCAGGTACGTGCGAGACTCCAGAAAGCAGCGAATTCAATATCGGCGTACCTTAGAGAACAAGGCCTCGAGATTTCTCCTGAGAAATCGGCGCTGGTCGCGTTCACGCGGAAGGCAATGACGTCATATCCCATCGCCATCGATGGACACAGTGTCTGCTACGCCAGGACCCACAGGTTTTTGGGGGTCACGATCGATCGAAATCTCTGCTGGAGTCCCCATGTGGCCACTCTAAAGAAGCGCCTAACGGCCATCGCACAACTTTTCAAGTTCCTCGGAGGCAAAACGTGGGGCACATCAGTGCACGCGATGTTGCATTTGTACAAAACGCTGTTTCTGGGGTACCTGCGGTATAGCTTGCCGGTTCTGACGAACGCTTGCAAAAGCAGTATACGCACAATAGAAAACGCCCAGGGCCAGGCACTCAGAGTTTGTCTTGGATTACCACGCTGTACATCAACAGCGGAAACCATCGCAATCGCCAAAGATCATCCGGCCACAGTGCACATTACTTTGGAGGTGCTTAGAGCTCATATTAGACACCTTGCTCGCGCCCCTGCCCACCACCTAGCTTCGCTTCCAGAAGATCGACCGAGTGCCTCCTTCTGTAAGAGAGTATTGACTTTCCGTGAGTGCCTTCCAACAGTCTACACGCCTCCGGAACGGATACTAACACCTCCTTGGTGCTTGGACCGACCAAAACTGCGCTTGACAGTGCCGGGGATTCGCAAGAAGGCGGAGCTCTCGGCGCCAGCTTTAAAGCAGATGATTCTACTCATGCTACACGAAGAATACAAAGATCATGTCAAACTTTACACGGATGGCTCGACAACTGTTGGAGGATCTGCAGGAGCTGTGATCTTCCCAGCAAGAGCCGAAACCATCCAGTTCAGAACGTCACACAAGACGACATCGACAGCCGTGGAGCTCGCGGCACTCCGCAGCGCACTCCGCAGGATTGACCAAGAGACACCACAAAAATGGAGCATTTTTACTGATTCGAAACCAGCTCTCCAATGTCTACACAATGCTCTACGTCGTGGACCTCAAGACCAATTGGCGCTCGAAATACGACAACTGTACCATCACCTAATAGACGAAGGACATGACATATCTTTTCAGTGGTTACCAGGCCATTGCGGCATCATCGGTAACGAGCATGCCGACAATGCAGCTAAGAATGCTCACGAAAATGGAGTGATGGAACCTATTCCACTATCAAGAAGCGACGCAGCAGCAAAGATTAATACGCTTGCGCAGGATGTCGCAAGGTCTATGCGGAATACGCCCGGTTTTCTCCACACCCGTCTTCACCGCCTGGACCCATGCCTACGACTTACTATTCCATCTGGCCTACCCCGATCCGAGACGACCCTTCTCTGCCGTATGTGGCTTGGGGTGTCTTTCACGAACGCTTTTGCCTGCCGCATCGGAATGAGAGACAGCGCTACATGCGACCATTGCGACAATGACGAAACAATTGAACATATTTTATGTCAGTGCCCCCAGTACAGCTCTCAGCGACAGTCCCTCTCAGCAGTGTTTGCTCGCCTCGACGACCAGCCATTTTCTGAGCAGTCAATCTTGGAATGTCGGAAAGATCGAGCTTCACGCCAGAAAGCAACGAAGGCGCTGATGAAGTTTCTGCGAGCGACCCGCCTCGTTGAACGATTGTGACACTACTGTGTGCGAGTGTGTGTGTGTGTGTTTGTGCTTCTCTTCCTCCCTTACCCCTTCCCCAGTGCAGGGTAGCAAACCGGATATGTTTTCTGGTTAACCTCCCTGCCTTTCCGCATTAAATTTTCTCTCTCTCTCTCTCTCTCAGACATCTTAACAGTACTCCACTCTCATATAGCTCGCATGTCATACTTTCAATCCCCGGTCACCCTTCCAATGCCCCGTGTCTCTACCAGACTAGATGATCCAACTAAATCTCTGCGCTCGTCATCTCACCTTAGACATCCCAACACATGTAGTATATGTTGGCTCGGCAGCCGCCTCCTCGTTTCACTGCTTGTCTATGAGAATCAAAGTGACAATTTACACTCGTGAATATCTTTCAAGTTTAAAGTCCACAAATGCCGTTAACAGAATCGCCATGACGCATTTCACTCGGATACATTGACGATAACATTTAAGTGTGTGCTAGTGAGCTATGGTAATCTAGCAGATGTGCATGTCAGGCATAAACACATTGGCGATCTGCTAATGCTCATGAAGCAACTCGTAATGCCTTGCTGTGAGAGAGAAAGAGAGAGAGCGTTCGCGCATGCACGCTCTTGCATCTGACCGAGAACATCCGGCGCAGATTGGCATGCTCATCTACAACTCTCGCAGCTGCGTTACTAGCGCTGGTTAACACTGTCAAAGGCAGCCAAAGTAAAAGATCAGGTCATTGGTGCCTTTCAAAGACTATGTAATGGCAATATGACACCCTGGAAAAGCACCATTGAGCGAATAAGCATGCACGTCATGACTTCGCTAATAATCCACTTGAGTAATAGATGAAGATCTGGCGGTTTGGTGAGATTTGTCCCCAAGTTTAAGCGAGGCAGCCAAGTTGGTGTTGAAGGAGCACTACATAAGTCAATAGAAACGCAAACAAAAAAAAAGATAGAAGAGAGCGATTCTTTAATGAACTATCTGCTTCCCTATATGTATGCTTCTCATAAAGTCACTCTGAGTTTTCAATTGTGATTCTTCCACACTTAAGAAAAGAAGAATGTTTTCCATTGTAATCTACGTGCGCAGAAGTATATAGAATAAAAGAGGCTCTTGTCATAATTTCTTCGAGAAGCTTTGCCTAAATCTCTGAAGGAGGAATGGGAAGATGTTGCAGGCTGATCTAGTGTTGAGAGATATGCAGACATTTGCTCAACCCAGTGTCTTCCTTTGTGATAAATTTGAAAGCATGACCATGATTCAAAAGCGAAGCACGGGCGCTAAGAAGCACTAAGAAGGCGCTCGCAGCACAACGCGGCAAAGAACATGCTGGTAGCCTATCAGATATACCGCCTGCGGTACTGCGTAGGGCCCAATAATAACCACAACAAGCTGCAATGTCAGTGTCACTCATGCCTGTTGATATGCGAGGTCAGGAGCGTGCAAAATTTTCAGCAGTAGTCACGGTACTTCCTTCGTGAATTTGCAGTGCCTACGCGAGAATACCATATCAATAACTGCTGTGTGGCTACCCTAAACGTGACCCTTATAAAAATATTTCTGATGGCGCCATCTGAGTGCAATACGTCTTTAAAAAATAACGAAATGGGTTGAAGTTCTTGCAGTAATTTTATACTCTATGCAAGAAAATATTTGCATACTAAATATACACCAAGGGCACACGTGCTCCACCCCGTTGGTATAGGAGTTATGGTGCTAGAAGTTCTAACCCGAAGGTCGCGGCAGTGGCTGCTGCATTTTTTAATGATGGCAAAAATGTTTGAGGCCTGTGTGCTATAGATTTAGGTGAATGCTACGAAATATAGGAGCTCTGCTCTAGTGCTTCTCTGATAATCAAATCTTGTTTTGGGACGTCAAAACCCCTTATATTGTCATTACAAAAGCACACGCAAATGCGTACATCTTCAGAAATGCTTAATGACTGTTGCAGAATTATCGTTCCATTTCAAAATCTGTACTTGATATTGCATTCAGGGCAATGAATGCCATCTTGCCGTTCCCGACAATATGTGTAAAGATGATTCGATTTCTTCACTTTCCTAGTACTGTTCGATAATAATTTGCGAACAGAAATATGAATTTCGTTAGTTATCTAACGTCTTCCACATATTCTGAGTAAATGATTCTCAGGTCAAAGGTAAGACTTACCAGAGAATATCTGCAAGCGTAACTAGGCAATTAGCAAGGGTTGTCGCTTAGCCGAGGTTTTTTTCCTCTGTAGCGGAATTCCCACTGTAGCATCGGACATGTGCGCACATATATATAGCGCTAGTTTTGTAGAGCCTGGGCGTTTGCAGGGGCAGCTGTGATGCGAGTAGAATGGTCGTTCGCCCCGTCTCGGGGCCCTGATTTTATTAGTAATGTTAGACATCCTTCTTTCCCCACAATCCTTGTACGAAGCGAACACTGTGTGCTAGCACTGCAGTGCGGTGATGGGAGAGGAGGAAGGCAGTAGCGTCGCAGGCGGTAGCAGACAGCGCTAGATGTGGTGCACATATAGGTTCCCGAGTGTATATGTGTTACACAACGAACATATGTAGTACATGCCACATAGTATCCGTGTTAAGTATATAGTATAGTGCAACTGTTTTAAACAAAGGTCCTTCCTTCAAGTGATCTTTAGGGGCGCACTAGATGCACCAAATATATATCTAAATATATACCATCATAGGAACAGCTTGGATAAAATATACTTTATTTGTGTCTTTAACTATTAGTAACAAAATATGCAATATCAGAAGTCGAACACAGTGCCTGAATACTGTATTGTAGGTCGTCGACTGCATTATAGTTCTTCTCCTTGGGACTAAGAAGCGGTTCAGTATAACCTCCACTTTTGTGCTACAAGGAGGAAGACACTGTTCCATAAAGAAAACACTAATGTCCCGTTTCGACGTTATATATAGCAGTGTTACTAAAACAAGTAACAAGGAGCTGTATGACATAGATTATTAGCTGCGAAAAAGACCCCGCTGGAACCTTGCGTGGACGTGCTATGCAGTGAAAGTGAGGCAAAACAGGCTGTCTACTACCTTGTGATTGTTCACTTGAAAACATTTTTCCCTTGAAACAAAAACCACTGTTCTAAAGCTTTCTATTCATTTTACTGACAAAGCATACTATGCGACAATATAAAATACACATTTTTTACTTGAACCATTACATTGCGAAAATTTCGCCACAATCCGTGTCATAATACTGTTTTTTCAACTTTGCCGCAATATTTTTGCAATATTCTTTTTTGATTCACTTCCAAATAGGTTAATAATTTACTATAGGAAACTATAAAGCAAATAAATATATAACTCGCGAAAAAATTTATTTTCATAAAAAGGCTAAACATGCAGCATATTGCAATTTTTCGCCAAAGTGAAAAAGAATGATAATAAAACAAAACTGAATAAAATGTCATCGCCATGAAAGAGTAGCGCCTTGAAATTAGTGACGAAAACTTTCAGTTTAAATTACTCAAGCTATTAATACTATTTTAATGGGACCCGTATACGCGCGAAAGAAACAGACATGGCCGCGCGGCGTGGATGCGGAACATCAACTCCTTTTATTCTGGTTCTCTGGAGGTTCCGGAGAGCAGTGGAAAAGGGGCGCTGCATGGCAGTTTGGCTTGGCTTGGCTGCTGTTACAGTGATACCCCCACCCCCCCTACCCCCTAGTAAGTTTCCGAAAGCGATGTTGCAGAATGAGGTGAGTGGGTGCTATTGATAGCCGCCCTCTGTGTGTCAGCCGGGAGGGAACCTCGTGGACTTGCTGGCATTGCGCCATTGCTGGCATTGGCGCTGGGTGTCTTGGTGTTGATTCTTTTAGCAAGAGGCAACACTGCGTCGTCACAATCCATGTGTGCTGTCTTGACGCGGTCCAACGACACAACCTCCTCACGGCCACTTCTCTTGATTGTGAATTGTTTGTTGCCACGGTGAAGGACTTGAACCGGCCGATCATAGGGTGGCTGAAGAGGTCGCCGGAAAGCGTGAAACATATGGTGCAATACGGCATCCGATGAGATGTGCGACGCTGCACGCCGCATACGACTATTCACGACACTTGGGGCGAACAGCCGTCAGCACTCAGGCTCCGCCCACATACGGTCCCACGCTCGGAAGACACCGTATCCTCTTTATTAAGCACGAAATAAAGACGCTCACGCAGCCATGCCTTGTCGTCTGATAACATCGTCAACAAAGCTACGCCTTCGCAAGCTACAAACATCGACACAGCTAGCCCACACGTATTATAGACTCCTATCGTATACGCCTAGCACGGCCGCCGTTTTCGGTAGCGCCGCTGTCTTCCCAACGTGAGCTCATTGTCGAGTGCTTCTTTTTACCAACACGATGAAAACTCGCACATTTATACGACGCTTTCACACGTTCAAATGGTTTTATCGACAGACTCGGCAGACTGTAAAGAGCAAAGGTGGGAACGAAGCGGGCCGGTTCGGCGAGACGGTCGGCGCCACTGTTTGTTTACCTGCAAAATGGACTTCCATCACGGCTCGATATCTCGTCGTTAGTTCGAAAAGAGGCGTTGTCTTGCAGAAATAGCCCACTTCAAGCACCACTTTATTCAATCATGAGTTATTTCACGTCAGAAACAATCTATCCGATGTTTTTGATGCCACTGGCAACCGCGACACCAAAAAATACATAAGCTATTGGTGCTATCGAAGCGGTGAGGCAGAAACGTGCGATGGCGCCCACATGTGGCACCCTTGTCACGCTCCCGCGCTGCCATTGGCGGCGGCCGCCAGAACGGCGCGGTTGCCACGCGCCTATATTCAGCAAGTTGGATGCACGCGCGGCATGCAAATCGTCGCCACATGCTGTTGGACGCCTGTTGGCTGCGGCTGTTGGCACGAACAGCCGTACGGCAAATCGCCCCCAAAAACGCACCGTGTGTTTCCCGCTGAATGCGTCGTGTCGTACGAACACATATGGATACGATGTGAGCTGTGGGTCGACGTGCACCACACGCGACCCTGGGGGCCGTGCTGCTACCGCGCGCAGTATGCTCATGACGTTGCCTAGGTGAAATGCATAGTCGCTGCAAGCTATGCAGGCCTAGGGAGCCTTCATGTGCACGAGTCTCCGTGTTTTATGGTGATGACAACTTCGATCATGGTTGCTTACAACTGGCTAAAACGGCTGCCATACTTGACCGGTCGCCATGTTGGTTCTTAGTGGTCGCTCATTTATTTGAGGGAGCGGGTTTCACCGAGAAAGGGTGATTTTTCTGTATAGCAAGTTCTGAAAACTGGAGCTTTGTTTTCTGAAATTGGATGCCGTTTTGTAAAACAAGAAAACCTGTTCACGGCTCGAGTTTGCATAAAATACCGTTAAAGCAGTTCGTTCCTTCCACCTGGTACACCCACCGCATCGGCGGAGTGAGGATATTTAGAGAGCCTATATTTGCGAGGGGGAGAACCTCGATGTCCCTGTGAACAGACTTTAATTTCTGCGTGGCGTTCCCGAAGCAAATTCACCTTATCACTGCAGACACCTCAAAGGCCTTCTAGTGCAAGGCTCGAGACTGTGCTGTATTACATGATGGCACCCATAACGTCAGGGAAGGCAGATCATACAACCGGGTAGCTCACGATGTTCTCTGTAAACCACATAACTGCGCTAGCGTAATTATTACACCCTAAATATTGTTTTTGTCCATAATATATTTCCTGTAAAAAGTTTAGTTTCTGCTATCAACTCTGTACAATGGACTGCTTAAAAAACTTACAAGCTGTAAGCATTGCCAGAAAATAGTAGGCCACTCAATCATGCTACACCAACCAACCGCCTCCCCCCACGAGGCTGTATATTAGGCTAGCTGAGAAGCACAGAGGAGCAACGAGGGACAAACCAAGGTTTTCCAGGTCAAATTTTATTGCAAACAGCATCCAAACAGCATCTGGCTTTAATTTCTTCAAACCGTCCTGGCTACTTTGCTGGAAGCTTGTGTCCTCGCAGTGGGCCTACAAAAAAGTGATCAAGTGAAAAGTCATACACGGCACCTACCACATACACAGAGTTCATACACATTTTGTCTATGAGCACTAAATAAAATCTGAGTTCACGATATCCAATCATGTTTGTTTCTTGTTAAGAAACGAAAGGAAGACAAAAATAATGACGCAGCACCAATCTCGCATAGGACATATTTGAGTTATGGGCCAACAAGAGACTTGCTTAGTGCACATACGCTGCACCATTCAGGACCGACAGACAGCCAGAAGGACAAACGGACCCAAATGGTAAATGTGTCACATTCTATATTATGACAGCAAAATCCTTTTGCCATTGTTGAGCAAGTTTTGGGTGTGGCTCCGTGTGTCATTGAACAACAAATGGGTGTAGCAAGCCACACAAAATGTAGTTGTGTAGCAACTGTGCAAAACTACAGGAGTCTGCAGGGAACGCGTTCATCGGTTCGTCTGTCTACATCTACAAATGGCCTTTATCAGCAACCGGCCTGAAAGTGCAGGAACCCGAACATCTGCCGGCAAAGGAAGACGCGAACGCGAGCATCTGTTGGTGGTTTACGCGTCGTTACCCGCGACGACTGCGGCGACGGCTTTGGAAGCCGGTGAAACGCAGATAGTTAACGCAAGCAGGACATCACGTTCGACTAGTCACATCATTCGATTGGTGAACTGCGCTTTGACTACGAGCGTAAACAAGCATGAATAAGTAAATAATTTCCCGAAATATGCGGTGATATACTCTATTCGACGTTTGCATTTGGGAGGTAGTGGCCTGATACAGAACCTGGGTGGCAAATCCTTCTCTGGTGAGGGAGTGCGTTACCGGCGGTGGTCACCAGTGAGGCCGCACCCCCGGCCTCCTAATGCAGTTCCATCACCACGCGGATTTTTTTTATCCGGTTGGGAACTGCGCGGCACCGAGATTCGAGCCATGGACTTTTTGCAAGTGAGGCGGATGCTCTAACCACAACGCCATCGCCACAGCTCCGGACAGGCCACCATTGGAACCTGAACTTGGCAACGCTTAACGCTAGTACCTTATCTAGTGAGGCAAATCTAGCTGCACTGTTCGAGGAGCTAGAGGGTGTTAAATGGGATATAATAGGGCTCAATGAGGTTAAAAGGACAGATGAGGCCTAGGCGGTGCTACAGAATGGGCACGTCCTTTGCTATCGATGCTTGGCTGACAAAAGAGAACTTAGAGTGGAGTTCTTAATTCACAGAAACATAGCTGACAACATAGAGAAATACTATAGCATTA